TTGTTTTTCTTAATAACATACATACTTCACACAAAAAAAATCCCATCAACAGAAACAATTTTTAAAAACCAATTGAGTAATTTCTATGGAAAAAATGGAAATAATATCTTGGTATTTACTTACCTTCTTATTCTATAAGAGAAAATAATACTAATGGAGCAAAATAATGGATGCCCTTGATTTCATTTCAGTATTCATATATGTGGTTATATCCATATTTATATTTAAGTCAAAGGGTGCAATATTTTAGAATGGGTCTCATTGATTAGATGATTGGTGCCATTGCAGGCCCAGAGCTTAATGGAAAGGCAAAATTGAGTGAGAGGAGGGAAGAGATAAATGAGGAGAACAAAAGGGTACTTATAGTGGGGGTATAAGGTTGTGTGTTCCCTACCCTAGTTATCTTTTCATTGTGGAAAAATATGTAACATAAAACTAACCATTTTACCCACTTTACGTGTATAATAAAGAAGCATTAAGTACGTTTGTGTTGTTGTACAACCATTACCACTATTTCCAGAACTTTGTCATCATCCCAAACAGAAACTCTAAACCTATTAAGCAATAGCTCCTTATACCCTTCTACCCCCAGCTTCTGGTAACCTCAATTCTACTTTTTGTCTCTAAAAATTTGCCTATTGATGATACTTCATATCAGTGGAATCATACAATATTTGTTCTTTTATATCCATTTTGTTTTACTAAGTGAAATATTTGTAGGGTTTATCTATGTTATGACATGTGTCAAAACTTCATTCCTTTATGACTAAGATTCCATTGTATATACATACTACATTTTATCAGTACTTCTGCTGATAGACAGATGGGTTGTTTCTACCTTCTGGATATTGAATAATGATGCTATGAACATTTGTGTACAGTATCTGTTTGAGTTCCTGGTTTTAGTTTTTTGTGTGCATACCTAAGTGTATTAGAGTTTTCCAAAGAAACAGAACCAATAGAGTGTGTGTGTGTGTGTGTGTGTGCGCGTGTGCGTGTGTACATAAAGAGATTTATTATGAGGAGGTGGCTCACTGCATTATGGAAGCTGAGAAGTCTCATGATCTGCCATTTGTAAGCCAGAGACCCAGGAAAGCCAGTGGTGTAAATCTGGTCCAAGTCCTCAGTCAGAGGGCTTGAGAACCATGAGAGCTCACGGTGTAAATCCCAGTCCAATGACAGGAGAAGATCAATGTCCCAGCTCAAGCAGGCAGACAGGAAGCAAAAGGATGAATTCCTCCTCCTCCTGCTATTTTGTTCTGTTCAGGCCCCCAAATGATTGGCTGATTCTCACCTATACTGGGTGGGGGGGCAATCAACATTACTGAGTCTACCAATTAAAATGCTAATCTCATCCTGAAACACCCTCACAGACATACCCAGAAATGATGTTTAATCTGGGCACATCTTTGCCCACTCAAGTTGACACATAACCATCATATAAGGGGTGGAATTTTGGAGTCGTATGTTAATTCTGTGTTGATTTTCTGAGGAACCACCAAATTGTTTTCTATGGGGACTGCATCATTTTACATTCCCCCCAGTAACGTACAAGCATTCCTGTTCTTCCACATCCTCACTAACACGAGTTATATTCCACTGTTTTGAAAATAGCCATTCTCTGAGTGTGAGAGAGTATTTTATTGAGGATGCTATTGTAAGTTGAATAGTTTTACTAATTTCTTTTATAGACTGTTCATTGCAAGTGCATAGAAATGCAAACTGAGTTTTGCACGTTGATTGTGTACCTTCAGTTTTGTTGAATTCATTTATTAGCTCCATCAGTTTTTTGCAGATGATTTAGTGTTTCCTACATATAAGATCATGTCATCTGTGAGCAGAAATACTTTTACTTCTTCCTTCCCTAATTACATGTCTTTTTGTTTCTTTTTTGCCTAATTGCTTTTGATCATGGTGTGTACTCCTTTTTTATGCTGCTGAATTCAGTTCGCTAGTATTTTTTGGAGGAATTTTACATTTCTATTAATAAGGTATATTGGCCTAGAGTTGTTGGGTTTTTTTTGTAGTATATTCTACCAACCTCCTTATCAGGGCAATGATGGCTGCATAGAAAGAGATAGGAAGTTTTCCTATCTTCATTTTTTGGGTAAAGTTGAGAAGAATTGGTATACATTCTTCTTTAAATATTGGTAGAATTCATCAGTGAAGCTATTGGGTCCTATGCATTTCTTCATGTGGAGGTTTGTGATTACTGATTCAATCTACTTACTTGTTATAGGTCTATTCAGATTTTCTATTTCTTCTTGTGTCCATTTTAGTAGTTTTTTTTTTATTTCTAGGAACTAGTCCATTTCTTCTAGGTTATTCAAATTTTTGGTAAATAATTGTTCATAATTTTCTCTTATAATTTTTTCTTTTTATGAAATCAGTAGTAATGTCCACTTTTATTTCTGATTTTAATTACTAGAGTTTTCTCTTTTTCTTAAACTCATCAATCTAGCTAGAGGTTTGTGATTTGTTTTTTTGTTTTGTTTTGTTTTGTTTTGATCTTTTCAAAGAACTAACTTGATATTGCTTGGCTGTGTCCTGACCCAAATCTCAACTTGAATTGTATCTTCCAGAATTACCACATGTTGTGGGAGGGACCCAAGGGGAGGTAATTGAATTATAGGGGCCAGTCTTTCCCGTGCTATTCTCGTGATAGTGAATAAGTCTCACGAGATCTGATGGGTTTATCAGGGGTTTCTGCTTTTGCTTCTTCCTCATTTTCCCTTGCCACTGCCATATAAGAAGTGCCTTTCGCCTCTCACCATGATTCTAAGGCCTCCCCAGTCATGTGTAACTGTAAATCCAATTAAACCTTTTTTTTTTTTTTTTTTGAGACAGAGTATTGCTCTGTTGCTCAGGCTGGAGTGCAGTGGCGTGATTTTGACTCATTACAACCTCCGCCTCCCAGGTTCAAGTGATTCTCCCACCTCAGCCTCCCGAGTAGCTGAGATTACAGGCACCCACCATCTTGCTCGGCTAATTTTTGTATTTTTGTAGAGATGGGGTTTCACCATGTTGGCCAAGCTGGTCTTGAACTCCTGACCCCAGGTGATCCACCTGCCTTGGCCTCCCAAAGTGCTGGGATTACAGGTGTGAGCCACTGCGCCTGTCCTTAAACCTCTTTTTCTTCCCAGGCTCAGGTATGTCTTAATCAGTAGCATGAAAACGGACTAATATACAGCTTTTGGCTTGGTTTCATTAATTTTCTCTATTGGTTTAAAGTTTTCTTTTTCTTTTCTTTCTGGTTTTTTTTTTTTTTTTGTCTTTTTGTTTTTTGTCTTCTCTTTTTGAGACAGTGTCTCCTTGTTGCCCAGGCTGGAGTGCAGTGTTACAATCACAGGCTCACTGGCGCTCTCAACCTCCTTTGCTCAAGTGATCCTCCCAAGTAGCTGGGACCACAGGCATGAGCCACCAGGCCTGGCTAATTTTTGTATTTTTTGTAGAGACAGGGTTTTGCCATGTTTCCCAGTCTGGTCTTGAACTCCTAAGATCAAGGGATCCACCTGCCTCAGCCTCCCAAAGTGCTGGGATTACAGGCATGAGCCAGCACACATGGCAGGTTTTAAGTTTTCTATCTTGTTTTTCTCTAATCTTTGTTTCCTTCCTGCTATTAGCTTTAGCTTTAGTTTGCTCCTCTTTTTCTAGTTCCTTAAGATGTACAGTTAGTTTATTGTTTTGAAGTCTTTTTTTTTTTTTTTTTAATGTAGGCATGTACTGCTATAATGTTCCCTCTTAGCACTGCTTTCACTGCATTCCGTGTGTTTTGATATGTTGTATTTGTAGTTTCATTCCTCTCAAGGTATTTTCTAGTTTTCCTTGTGGTTCTTTCTTTGACCCATTGTCGCTTAAAATTTTATTTATTAATTTCTGCATAACTGAGGATTTTCCACTTTTCCTTCTGTTATTCCTTTCTAGTTTCATTCACTTGTGATCACAAAGCAATTTTGTATGATATTAATTTTTTAAAATGTATTAGGACTTGTTTTGTGGCCTGACATGATTATCCTGGAAAATGTTTTATGTGCACTTGAGAATAATGTACATTTCGCTTTTGTTAGCTGGGGTGTTTTATATAAGGCTGGGAGGCTTATAAACAACAGAAATTTATTTCTCACTATCTTGGAGGCTGGAGGTCCAAGTTCAGGATGTCAGCATAGTTGGGCCCTCTTCTGGGTTGCAGACTGCTAACTTCTCATTGCATGCTTCCATTGTGGGAAGAGAGCAAGCTAGTTCTCTGGCCTCTTCTTAACAGGGAACTAATCGTACTTGTGAGGGCTCCACTCTTACGACCTAACTGCCCCTCAAAGGTGCTGCCTTTAAGAATAATCACGTTGAGAATTAGATTTCAGCATAAGGATTTTGGAGGGACACAAACATTCACTTCATAAGAGTCATCAAATTTGAGCATGCATCAGACTTCATCACTTTTGCTTGATTCTCCATTAAAAGTAGGAATGCATTGTGGACTTAAATATAGACATTGTAGATAATGGGAGATGTTGTACAGAGCAACTGTAATTTATAAGATTGAAGATGATTCCAGGTTTTGAAAAATTATGAATGGTAGAGTTGATCCTTTCTTTTTTAGTATTATTGTACATAAGCAAATTCTACGTAGTATTTTTCTGTTTTTAGTTTAGATTGACTAATTATTATGACTGGAAATAAAGCTTAAAAAGTATTCTATATGTTTAAGTCCCAGAAGTTTACTCAATTTTGGAATACCATTTATTCTTATATGATCTTTTATTCAATATGTATATGCTATATTGTACAAAAACCAAACAAGTTTATACATTTTATTCACAATTTATTGTAGTTCATTTTTAGGTCAAATTTTGGAGGGGTAGGGAAGGGCTGATACTCTGGTACCATAACAGAACCATAATCAGAAATTTCCTGTCCCAATTAATCACTTTCATAATTGTTAACGCATGTTTAAAAATTCTAATCCTAAAACACTAAACTTTTATACTTTTATTTCTTTTTAGAACCTTGTGAAACATCTTCCTGAGCAGAAGATACTCAATGAATTAGCAGAGCTTAAGAATGAATATGATGACCTCTGTGAGCCTGAACAATTTGGAGTTGTGGTATGTATCCAACATGAGGGACCACAAACTCAGCTGGGAGGTTAACACTTGCCAGAAAGAGTGAAAAGAAAGACATTTCAGTTGTCAATTCTTTTTTCATTACTGTATTGCTACATAATTTAATATAATATTGGCTGTCAGAAAAAAATCCTTTTTTACCTATTATTATTTGTCATGGCATTGAAAAATAATAAAATATTCGCATTCATAAAATACTTCAAAATATCTCAGGGGATCTTTTGTATAACAGTGCCAATTTTTAATTCTATTAATAGATGCAAACAGTATACATTATTATTATGTGGGCTATTTTTCCTTCCATTTAGATCTTTATGTTAGAATCTGACCCCCCAAAAATAGGTTAAAACAAAAGGTAATTACTAGATAATTAGCAAAGTAATAGAGACTCTTTTTCTAGGATATATATCGTCTCAGAAAAAGTACAAGGATTTTCAGATTTCGTATAGTGTCATTAATTGATTTAAAGCTTGAAACGTACTGTTTTAGTTGGGAAGAAAATCTTATACATCATGTCTTGAAATCATCATGTAGTTAAATTATTATTGGAATGAATTATTTTTTCTTATCCCACCCTTCATGTTAAGGGGTACAAAAGATGAATAAGTATAAATTTTGAATTCAAGATTATAGTTATATTTTAAGTATTCCCCAAACTGACTATTCAAATAGTTGACAAAAAACAAAAACAAAAAATGGCAGGAAAAGAGGGCACTATGATTTATTTAATTTCTTGGAGAAAAAGCTATTTTTTACTTAGGTGTTCAGTGCAAGTTTGTTTGCCGTATGAATAAATAGCTCCATTATGGTCGCCAACTTTACCCTGGCTCCCTGAACATTTTCCATTTGCGTACTAAGAATTTTAAAATTACCATTGGACCTAATAGTCAAACATTTTCAGCCTTATCCAAAATATTCTGTAAACTTTTAAATAGTATAGTATGTTAGAATTGATCTAATTTGATACCTTGCAGTTTAAAAATCCTGTTTAAAGTCAAACTGTGCTAGATGGGACTGAGCATGTTCCTTTTGAACATGTGCAATAAATGCTCACCCATATTTCGAGTTTATTAATTTTGAGACATGGCATTGACTACACTTATGTAGAAGGATTCTATCAAATTCTTGCAAAGAAAATCAGGAATGTATATTTGGGATCAGATAGAGCATATAATGGTATCTGAGAAAGGTATTTATTTCTCTTATTTTTGAACAAGGTGAATTAACTAAATTCTAAATTTGATAGATATCATTTGTTAACTAAAAGCAATTTAGCACAATATTGAGTAATACAATTATTTAGACCAAAGTCCACATTTGAAGCCTGAGCTGCTTGGATTCATATTATAATTGAAGCAAGGCTATATACCCTCTGAGAATTCAGCTGTGTCATGATGGTTATGAGTTTTACAGTAGGTATACTACACAATTTCTCTGAAGTCATTTTTTTTTTTTCTGAATGCAGTTTATCTTGGAAGATGTATTAGTTTGCCAAGCAAGTCCTTTCAAGAGGCATATCCTTGGTACCACACTGAGGAAATGAAGTTTGGGGACATAAAAAGCAATATACTTTCTGAACTAAAAGCAAAATAGAAAATGGAAGAGATTTCTTGTTTATGCACATAACCATAAATAATTCTGAGGCTGTGTGTACGTGAAGTAACCTAGTCCCCTTATTTACTCTCACCATTCTTAGCTACATGTCTGTGGGGGGTAAAAAGTCAAGGACATTACAAACTAGTTTACACCATGTAAATTACCTAAGATAGTATCAGTCAGGATTTGCCCAATAAAGTTTAGCTGCATTCACATCAAGGAAATATTTTTTAAACAATGATATACTTTAGTTTTTTAAACGTGTACTTTTCAGTGTTTAGAACAATATTATGTATAAAATAGACAGTAAATAAATGTTTATGGAATTGAATTACGGGACAATTATTAAGCCCAAGTCTGAGCCTGAAATTAGAAAGTAGTATAATTTAAATCTGTAACAATAGAAATTCTGCTAAAACGTGTTTCTCTAGGTGTATGCTGAAATTCAATTCACTTCTGTGTGTATACATCCAAACGCTTTTTAACCCTTAAACATATATCAACAGCCTAATGTGAGGACAATTTTGGAAATTGTTTAATAGAATCATCTGCAGTCATGAGAGAGGCTCCAAACTGGAAAGGCTCATTGCCTCTGCTCACTTCTCTTGTTAACATTATTAGTGTATTTATCACATGATTTCTATATGGAAAACCTCCAGTATCTCCCTGAATTTACAGAATGAAATCCAAGCTCCTTCACATTCTCACTGTACTTCTGACTGTCTTGCTTTCTTCCTTTCTGTTCCCTTTGGTGAAGTGAGTCAATTGGTATCTTTTTGACATTTTAGCCTTTACCTCAATCAGACTCTCACTGCCGTTTTAACAGTTATTTCACTCGCTCCCTATTCTGCGTCCTTTCATTTTTCCATAGTGGCCATACCATACCTTTCCTTCTTTCCTCAAGTCTTCTGTCTCCTCCCCATTCTTTTAACTTACTGCGAACATCCTAACCTGTTACTTGCCAGAGAATAAAGAAAGCACTTTGACTTCAGAACCTCCAATATCTCTTCTACCTACAAAGTTTTCTGTAGCTATATATCTTTTACTTACTCATTCTGTGTCAAACCTCAGAAATAGAGGAGCTCAATTATCATTAACATTATTGCTGTTGCTATTAGTATAGATAGAAACAAAATAAATATTGAGGACTTAACTTGTCAGATTCTATGAGAAGCATTTTTACTTCCACCAACTTATGTATTTCTCACGACAACCCTGCGAGTTTGGCACTATTAATGGCTCCATATTAAGGATGAGGATGCCAGGTGCATTGGTTCATGCCTGTAATCCCAGCACTTTGGGAGGCCGAGGCGGGAGGATCACCTGAGTTCAGGAGTTCAAGACCAGCCTGGCCAACATGGTGAAACCTCATCTCTACTAAAAATACACAAATTGGCCAGGCGTGGTGGCTCACGTCTATAATCCCAGCACTTTGGGAGGCTGAGGTGGGCGGATCACCTGAGGTCAGGAGTCCGAGACCAGCCTGGCTAACATGGTGAAACTCCATCTCTACTAAAAATGCAAAAATTAGCTGGGCGTGGTGGCGGGCACCTGTACTCCCAGCTACTTGGGAGGCTGAGGCAGGAGAATGACGTGAACCCGGGAAGTGGAGCTTGCAGTGAGCCAAGATAGCACCACTGCACTCCAGCCTGGGCGACAGAATGAGACTCCATCTAAAATAAATAAATAAATGCAAAAATGAGCTGGGCATGGTGGCACATGCCTGTAATCCCAGCTACACAGGAGGCTGAGGCAGGAGAATCGCTTGAATCTGGGAGGCGGAGGTTGCAGTGAGCTGACATCAGGCCCCTGCACTCTAGCCTGGGCCACAGAGCAAGACTCCGTCTCAAAAAAAAAAAAAAAAAAAAGGAGGAGGAAACTGGGCCCAAGGAAGATTAGTTTACTTGTCCAAGGTCACACAGTAACTAGTAGTCACAGAATTCAAATGATTCAAATGTTAGCAGTCTGTATTTGTAGCCAGTGCTTTAGCCACTGTGCTCCTGGGTTGTGGGTATGTGGGTGTGTATGTGATGCTCTACTACATGCTAATCTTCTCACTTCAGTTTGGGCTTTGTTATGCACTGCCTACTTTAGGTGGTAGTATCTCTTATTTGCTTTCCTTCTGTTAGTTATTTTATTACTTCCTCAATTTGTCAGTTTCCACTCTGCTCTGCTCTTCAGAAAAAAAGAAAATCTTCAGTCATTTGCTGCTGGGAAAGGAGTGGATAGATGGGTGGATGGATGAATAAAAATCCTTCCTGACTGAGGTTTCGGCTTGCTACTGCTTTCTCTCCATTTCCTACCATCAGTTTTTTTCAAAGATCAGTCTCCTTTTTCTCTCTACTTCCTTAACTCTCATTCACTGTTCAACCAATGATGATCAGAATTCTGCCTTAAATAATGCATTGAAATTGAACTAGGAAAGGCCCTTAAATCCTGTTCACATCCAAAATACACATCGAGTATACTCACTTCTCTTTGTCTCCATCACCACCATCTTAGCCCAAGCCAGAATCATCATTGCAATTAACCATCACAATATACATTTATCTTGTTTTTCCCACTACCACTTTTGCCCTTCTCCAAATCCGTCTCGGCACAACTCTTAGTATGATGTTTCTAGAGTGTGTCTGTATTGCATCACAATTTTTATCTGCTTAAAATACCAGTGCTGTTCTATAGCACTAAAGCTAAAGCATTAACTTCTTACCGTGACCTAGAATACACTATCTGGTCTGGCACCTGCCCACCTCTCCTACTTTTATCACCTGCTATTTGGCCTCTTGCTCATTATGCCTCAGCCACATTTTATTTTTGAACTTACCGTGTTCTTTCCTGCTCAGGACCATTGCACATGCTGCTTTTTTACTCCCGCTTGTTGCCTCCCTCTCTTGTTTATACTTCAAGTCATAGCTTAATTTTTGCTTTCCAGTGGTACCTTCATTTGCCTTTCAGTCAGAAATACACCTCCCTACTAAACTCTCCCAGATTACCTTTTTTATTTTCCTTTCTAGAAATTATCATGGATTTTAATTAAATGTTTATTTATGAGGTTACTTCTTGACTGTCTATAATCCCAACTATATTGCAAGTTCTATGAATGGATGAATCATGTTGATTTTATTCACATGTGCTTAACAAATATTTCTTGAATGTATTTGCGTGAATGGAAAATCAAGTGGACTCTTTCAGTCCTATCTTATTCTGTATCTATGTGGCATTTGATAACATAAAAGAATTTAAGCTCCTTTTCGAAAACTTTCCTCTCCTTCTTAAACAATAAATAGTATTTCCTGATTTTTTTTTTTTTTTTAAGAGGCAGGTTCTCTCTCTGTCCGCCAGGGTGGAGTGCAGTGGTGAGATCATACCTCACTGCAGCCTCGAAC